GATTGTCCTGCTTAGCCTCCTTCAAGGGCAATAATGGTATGCTCCACAAAACAATTTCCTCTCCAAACAAAACATAACTTGTGGATGGCCACACCAGTTTTGCTGCTTGGCTTCTCAGCTGCCGCGAAGGCATGCATTTAGGTTTGTTTATTCATATTTAAGGACAATGTTTGAGATGTTGACTTCACATTTTGAAAGGGATGGTCTATTTGCTAAAAACTGATATCTACCTCATGTTTTAATTGTTATGCAGCTCAGAGCGTTCATGTGTTAAAAATATAGTGTATATCTAAAGTACTGTCATTCGCCAATCAGCAAGCCAGTGCAACTATGGACAACAACTTGTTAAATGAGACATGAGGGGCCAAATTTGAGGCAAATGATCAAGAGCATGAAACAAAATAGTTTCATTACATATTATATGGCATCATCATTTTCCGTATGAACAAAACTTGATGGATTAAAACCGAAAATGGCTAAATTGAATTAAAAATAACGTGCTGAAAGAAGGTAAGATTACCAGTTAGTTGCTCCACAGAAGAAACTTGCTGGATTTTTAAGGACAGGCTCATTTCTGGTTGTCCCCACCCCCCTCCAAACACAAAGTACCTCTCGCATAGTTTGCTGACTGACAGGAGCGTCCAACCCACTCTCAAAATAGAAATATTAATCATGCCGACCTAACTGAAAAAATTAAAATGCGAAATAAGTCAGGGGAGCTTTGTACGCTTCTGTATTAGCTGCGCCAGGTCTGTCTTAACGCTATGTACGGCAGGGTAATGTAACGTGGTGAGGTAGTGAAACTGGAATGGCCTAGATTGATCATCATTTTAACAGGGCAAAATTAGCAGTCAAAATGAGCTCCATACTTCAAACTGTTTACTTCATTCCGTATGAATTGTTCATTCTTGGGTGTATATCAAGCATGTTTGGGCGGCTGGCATATTAATTCAATACATGTATGAGATACGTGCGAGTTTGCAGTTGGAACATTTTGCAGAGAAATTGATCAACATTGCAAGCCCAAGAAGATTGGTTTAAAGATAATCGGAAAGGAAGGAAAGTGATCATAAGTTGTTCAGTGCACTAGCGAGGAACATTATTCACATAGATAACACAGTGGTGTTAGCCTTCTTCCTCGGAGAAAAGCAGGAGAATGGAGATATAGCTTGGTTGATATTGCGGCAACATGCCTTTACCGAAACAATATCAGAAGTGAATCAAAATTCCCTGCCGATGATCCTACTCCATTTTTCAGGTATGTTTTCAACAGCTGGCCACAGCTTATACGGGACACCAACATTCAGGGGATTAAACAAAGAGTGTTTATCAACCATTACCACGATACAGTCCCTATCTAAGAATTAGGATGCGCAAACATATGTGTGCATGCAAATGAATTCAAGCAAATAGGCATCACGCATCACACTTCATTCACTTTCACTTTCATTTCATTTCATTTCATTCACTTCATCACATTCACACTTCATTCACATGCATGCAAATGAATTCAAGCAAATAGGCATCACGCATCACACTTCATTCAAACATGCAGGCGATTTGAAGTAAACAGGCATCGCACATTGCGCCTCAATTATACATAGAAACGATTTCATTTGAACAGGCATCGCACATCACGCCTCAGACATCACATAAACATGTCAACGATTTTGAGCTAGCACACATCACACATAGAGGCACATATCACGCCCGCATAATTGGCCATGATGAGCCCTGTATGTTAAGATTCGGACGCCGACTTTTTATAAGAATAGATTCACTTATTTTCTTGTCTGGGTGTTCCTGTGCTCTGTAGATGGCGTTGTGCTTTAAAAGGCGCATAGGGTCCATGCCTTCCCCGATTTCAGCCTGAGATTTCCCCGATTTCAGCTAACGCGTTTGCGTTAACCACTGCGCGTCTGGGAAACCAGAGGTGTGGGGTTCGATTCCCCGCGACACCCGCCCGTCCTGCCAAGATGAGAGGCAGGTAACGCCACATAGCCTCAGCAGCTGAGTGCGTCGTAAAGCCCCAATGACACACACGCAGGTGTTTATTATATCTGCAACGAATAGGGCGCATGGACTCCCCGAGACGGGCCATGTCTCTCTTACGTTTTTCACACAGTTTGCTCTTGATTTCGTAAGCCACTTTTTGCGTGCAACCCCTTGAAACCCAGAACTGCATAAATGTTATCTGTTGCCACCTCGGCACTTAGGCCTCGAGATGGAAGATTTCACCAGAGGCTTTTTAAGCTTATTGTCGCTTTTCCAAGCTATGCGTGCGCGCAGTTTTAATTTTCTAACAATGTGTTTGATTTTCCGAAGCAAATGCTCATCTATGAAGGGCAGCGTTAAGAATTCGTCTTCCGATTGCACGTGTTCCCGCCTCCTACCACCCATCCTACCACGCGCTTTTGACTTTTTTTTTTACTTCTTCTAACATTCTACCTAAAGCGTCCATACCCCAGCATATCCGTCGATATATCGAGCTAGGAAAGTAGGTTTGAATGGTCTGGCGGCTAGGGCTTTTGTTCCAAATTGGTCCAAAAATATTATCGTCAGAGGAGGAGCGCATGGGTTCCCCATTGCTATTCCCAATTTTTGTCGGTAGAAGTCATCTCCGAACGAGAAAACATTATCCTGGAGACACTGTTGTAAAAAAGACCGCAGATATCGTCCTTTGATAGACCAACAACATCATTTTCATGGAAAGTGATGCTTCATGGAAATTGAAAGCGTTAATTTTTGACAAAAATTGGGAATAGCAATGAGGAGCCCACGCGCTCCGCCTCTGGCGATAATATGTTTAGGCAAATCTGAAACGAAAGCCCTAGCCGCCAGCCCATTGAAACCCACTTTCTTAGCTAGATACATTAATGATTTTGTTGGGGTATGGATATCTATATGGATGGGATGGGTATGGTTGGAGTATGGGCATGGGTATTTTATGGGCGCTTTAGGTACAATGTTAGAAAAAGTAAAAAGTTCTAGAGCGCGTGAGGGATGGCTGATAGGGGGTGGGAACACGTCCGATCGGAAGACGGATTCTTAACGCTGCCTTACGTAGATGAGCATTTACTTTGGAAAATCGAACACATTGTTAAATCAAAACTGCGCGTACGTATAGCTTGGAAAAACGACAGTAAGCTTAAAAAGTCTCTGGTGAAAGATGCCATCTCGAAGCCAAGTGCCCGGGTGGCAACAGATGTCATTTATGCAATTCTGGGTTTCAGGGGTTTTGCACGCAAAAAACGTGGCGTACGAAATCAAGTGTAAACTGTGTGGAACACATTGCATGAACATGGTCTTTGTCGGGGAGTCCGTGCGCGCTATTCGTTTGAGATATAATGAACACCTGTGGATAAGAATACCCCATTGGGTGGCCATGTTTGTGGCACAACGCGCTCAGGCTGAGATTGGGGAAAGTATGGACCATATGCCCCTTTTAAACCTCGAAGTCATTTACAAATCACAGGACCACCCAGACAGGAAAATGGGTGAATCTGTTCTTAAAAGTCGGCGGACAAATCTCAACAGACAGGGCTCATCATGGCCGAGTATGCAAACGTGATGCATGTCATTATGTGTGATGTGTGCTAACTCAAAATCGATTCCATGTTTAAGTGATGCCTGACGCGTGATGTGCAATGCCTGTTCAGTTGAAATCGTTTCCATGTATAATTGAGGCGCAATGTGCGATGCCTGTTTACTTCAACTCACTTGCATGCTTGAGTGAGGCGTGGTGCGTGATGTCTATTTGCTGTAATTCGTCTGCATGTACACGTGTATTCGTGCATTCTAATTCTTAGATAGGGACTGTGTCGTGGTAATGGCTGGTAATCGCTCGTTGTTCAATCCCCTGAATGTTGGTGTCTTGTATAAACTGTGGCTAGCTGTTAAGTCTGCGATTGTTTCAAAAAGGAATGTTGCCGAAATATCAACCGAGCTACATCTCAATTCTCCTGGTTTTCTCCGAGGAATAAGGCTAATACTACTGTATTATCGAAGGAAAACGAAACTGTGTCACACTTGAATAAGACCAAGAAAAACAGTAGTAATTAGATAAATATGAAAACTGGTATTGTCATAGCATTTCATGATCACCTCATTCGACCAAAAATCTGTGAAAATGAGTGCTCAAACGGGCCCCGGATATTCATCTTTATTGCATTTAGCTTTAGTTTTTTATTTTTCAGATATTTAGCTTTCAGATTTCATTAGGAGGCGTTTTTTGGATTTTTCACACCCGCATTCCGGGAATGGTGCGGTTTAGTGGTGAAGTTTTTTTCGGTTAGAAGAAACACGTGGAATAAAATTCTCTACCAGGCTTTGCTGGTGTTTGTACCGAGCTTTCCTTTGGCGGTGCGCTGCTTGCGTGGTGCGACAAAAAAAAAACTAGGGATGCCTGAAACCTTGCATTTGGCGCACAGCTGTAAATTGTGCTGCATTTTGTCAGCAATCGAAATTTGATGCATGCAAGCGGCCGAGGTCGCCAGGGTTGTCGGGCTTGAGGTTACCTGGTGCCCCTGCTCTTAAAATATATGGGCATGATTCAGATGTAGGTGAGGCGAGATACAGCGTAACTTTATCCCGCCTAAAGCATAAACAAGGCCCCACAGAACCTGGACACCTCAAAGGTGTCCAAGTTCTGTGGGGCCTTGTTTATCCTTGATAGCTTCAAGTGAGCTTGGTTTTGGATGAGACTTTAAATCCTGGGAAAGGGAAGAACGATTTTGGTATATGTGGTTAGACAATATCAGGTAGGCGTGACAATTTTGCATAAAATGTGGGGAAAAAGAGTGAAAAATTCGTCCTCAGACGATGCTGCTTTGCACCCAAAGTCGGCAATTCTAGGACACTGAATTTGTCCGGGCACTCCGGTGTTAGCACAAGCCCTTAGTGGCGCTGAAATGCCGCACAAAGGCACAGAATGTCTGATCCCAGCCGGCATGAGCCCGGCCGCTGGAAGGGCGGCGCTGAAGGACGTCTGGCACCGGCAGAGTCCCGTACCGGCGCCGTGCCGCCGGCCCCACCGAAGCGCACCACTCACGGACCGCGAGGTGTACACCCATCTGCGGCTGGCCTGCGCCACTGGCCAGCCCGAGGACCACTTGATCCTCGACAAGCAGCTGGGCGCCGGGTGAGTAGCCACAGCTGGCACGGACCGGCCGGGGCGGGGTGGCGCGGCCCGCCCTTCTAGTGACTGTGGTCCCGGGGGCCGAAGCGACCGGCCGTGAGAGTTCGAAGACACTCCGCGTGCGCCGCTGCGGGACGTTTGCAATATGCGTGTACTGTTGCAGTCCCTGCGACACGTATGTAATCGCTGCGTCGCGCTTACAGTGTGTGAAGTTCCCGTGATTTGCGACCATTTCAGTCTCTACGGAACGCCACTAGTCTCTATGTGGCGACAACAGCATCTGTTTGACGTTCCTGTGCAACCTGCGTCACGTCTCTGTCCCGAATGACGTCACTTGTCGGACGTCAGGGCGTCGGGAGTGGTCATGCTGGCAACGGAGCGTAACGGCGGCCGGCGCGTGGCAGTCAAAGATATCGACCTGGCCCTTCAGAAACAGCTGGTATTGCTGCTCAATGAGGTGGAGATCATGCGTGACATGCGCCACCCCAACCTGGTCAACTTCCTCACCTCGTATCTGGTGGAGCGTCACCTCTATGTGAGTGGAGTACCCTCGGGGAGGAGCAGGGATGCGCGGTAACGCAACTGTAGCGTGACCCTGTCGAGCTGGCAGCTCGTCACGAAATAATGTGGACGGAGAACGGAAGACCGTACACTGCAGAAATAACTAGCTGCGAACGTTAGCACTCCTCACAGACCATCTATGCCATTGAAGTTATTTGGTTAAGTATCAGTAGACATGAAGCACCCGGACGAAGCGAACAATAAGCTCTGCTGATGTGCATCAACGCAGGGACCGGCGGACCCTGCGTAGTGAAACTTAGCTTTCCCGATTTTGTCTGTTCATGATCAGGTTTTCGTTCGTCAGTTGGAGCACGACTTTCTGATCACAAGACATGGCCTGTTGCTAGCTCATGACTGTTTAAGCGTGCTCGCCACTCACCGGCGTTCCAGTACCTCTGTAGATCATTGCCATTGGGCCAGTGAAATATTCCTGCAATCTGCGGGGTTCGAACTCGATGTCCGGTGATGTGCCAATTGCGTTACGCATAGCCGCCGGCGGAGGCCTGACGCGCTCACGTGCCCACGAGGTGGTGATGGAGCTGCTGGACGGCGGCGACCTGACCGGTGTGCTCGAGTTCACCACCCTGCGAGAGCCGCACATCGCCGCCGTGTCCAGGGAGACGCTGCAGGGTCTCAAGTTCCTGCACGACGGCGTGAGTGGCCGGTCCGCCAGCGGCCCTGCGCTCAGCACGCGGGACAGGCTGTAACTGAAGTCCATCTGAATTGCCCACGGGGTCAGAGGGAAGACACCCCGCTGGCGTTGGGTGGAAAACAATTTGTGGAGATATGCCCCCTCTCAGCATTTCTCTGGATGTTTGCACGCATCCGTCTGAAGGGTAAAAGGAATGAAATCTGACCTCTAGAGCTTCTAAGGGTAATATTCATATAACCGCCCAATACCATAATATTAAAACAATCTAAGTTTGAACAAAATGGGTGACTCGGCCACCATTTCAATGTGTTGTACCATGCCACAAATCCTCAAACGCGTGGTGCCGTATTTACATTCTTACATCAGGTTTGGATGCATACGAACGGCCGCCACGCTGCAACCTTTGAACGCAGACGTGACCTCCCAGATGCCTGGTTTTGGGAGCAGCGATTCTCGCTTGTGCTTAGCATCCGTTTCGATCTAAACCCTCATGCTGATACCGGTGGCAGCTGCCATCATTTGATCGCCAACTTTATAGCAGCCACTTGGCCAGACATCATGTGGTCTCATGCTCCATACGTAGCATATATGGAAGCGCGTGCTGTTTGCACTTGGAATTTTGGACTGTATTTCCTCCAACACGCTCCATACTCGATCCAAACAAACCGAGTATCTTGTTATTGCTGCTGTTGCCGTGCGCAGGGCATTATCCACCGTGACATCAAGTCGGACAACGTGCTACTGGGCTGGGACGGCTCTGTAAAGATCACAGATTTTGGCTTCTGCGCCAACGTGCAGGGCGGCCAGCAGCGCAGCACCTTTGTTGGCACCCCCTACTGGATGGCTCCCGAGGTAAGGTGGCGAACGACTTCGGCACGCAGGCCCAGTGGCGCCCGAGTTTGTTCTGGCTCCGACAGATCGCTTCGTTCCTCGCTTTGAATTTCTTTGTCTTGAGTGCTTTAGTGAGGAATTTTCTGTGGCTCCGACAACATAATGCGTTGCTCGCTTTGATTTTAATTTCTATGTTTTGAGTGCTCGAGTGGACAGTACCTGTTGAAATAGGCTCTGGGATACGAAACCGTGACAGACGCACTTTTGGCTATTGCTAGTGTCCGACGGGCGGAACGTTTTCAGAAGCGCAGCGAGCTGTTGGCCCCATAGCCCGAGTCTCGACGCTGCAAGAACGACCCCTGGGACACGTCAGTAGGCGTTCGTTCCGGCTTTGACCTCCGCTGACCGACTAACAGGTGGTGGAGAGGAAGAAGTACGGCAAGAAGGTGGACGTGTGGTCGCTGGGCATCATGGCCATCGAAATGTTGTCCGGCGAGCCGCCCTACCTGAACGAGCAGCCAATGCGGGCACTCTTTCTGATCGCCAGCATTGGCAAGCCGCCGCTGCCGGCCGATCGACCCATTTCCGACTCCTTCAAGGTCAGTGTGGGGCGCCGGTCCCATCTCCGGCTCCGAGCTGGCGCACCGCGCCCTTTTTTCATTTTATGTTTTCCGCGAATTGTTAGTCATTAACGCAACGGACATATTGGCAGGTGGAGATGGAGTGATGGGGGGGGGGGGGGGGGGTAGGCCCATGCCCATGTAATGGCCCAGACTTCCACTATAGAAAGAGAACAACGGAACATCAACACAAGTTTCAAGAAGTTAGCGTACATTTTAAGTGTTGGAATACAAAGGAACCATTTGCAGTACAAATTCATCACAACCCAGCGATCAGAACCTTGTTGATGTGCGTTTGCCTTTTTTTACTTACCCACAGTCTTAGTTTAAGACCAGCGCGGCGCGCAACGTCGCGCGACCCATTATGAAGCACAGGAGCGGCAGCAGTGGTCTTGTAAGGACCTGAGTGCTATGCGTCCACCACAATGCCAACCCGGGCCACCCAAGTGGGAGCTGTCTGAGCTGAGCTGAAGAGCTGTCTCCAAACTGAGTCATCTTGCGCCTACCATCCCACTGCATTATTTAGTATTTTGGTAGCTTGCTCGAAGCACGGCCGTGTCGACAGGGCTTTCTGGACGCCGGTCTGGAGGTGAACGTCGACGCTCGCGCGACAGCTGACGAGCTGCTGGTACACCCGTTCCTCAGCTGCGCCAGTGAGCTGGCCTCCCTCAAGGACATCATCAGCGCTGCTCGCAAGGCCCGGCAGGTCAAACAAGGCTTCTGGAACTGACCCGCAGTGGCCGACACTCATATAATCAAGTGGCCGATAGCACAGCGTTGGGTACGTTATGCTGTTGAACGAGGAGAATCACGGTCACAGCGCTGCTGCTGTGGTGCGGTCGGCACCAGAGCTCAGGGGAACATCCCCAAACCTGCCGGCAATCGTAGACTCTCAGAGCGACTTCGAACGGATCACCGTCTCCGATCCTGTCGTGTGCGGCGCGAAGGACTGCAACGCCGATGGCAACAGGATGGTGGTGTCACCTGCTTTGTTCGCATGGTTCAGTGCTGGGGCACTGCGTTCATAGACGAAAGAATTTCCGTTGATCAGAGAAAGGGACATTTTGTGAGGCAGGTCCCGTTGTCAGGCACATGTCGCGGTGTTGACCGTCAATTCAGGGGACGGTCCTTTCTTACGGCGTGGACTCGGTATGTTGTGTGCGCGTACGGGGAAACACGGGTTTCCCTGCAAGGCATGATGCATGCCCAGTAGTACCCCGGGTTCTGTTCTTACAGCGGCATCGGGCATCGTACGTCGTCTTTGAACGTTCCTCTCCCAAGCTTCTTTGCGTGCGTATCTGCGTTACACAGAACACACTCGTATGTTTGGCGTTACACAATAATCCACAGATAGCTCATCAACGCACTAAGGTGTGGTTGTGCAGGCTTGGAGAACTCACAGACACATCAGCTCTAAAAACCAATCCAACCCGTGTGACCAGTGTATGAACACATGGAAGTGTGGATACAAGGAGTGCACCAACTTTATGAAAACAGACTAGGCTCGTGGTTTTGCACGGGGGTGAAAGCGGGCCACGCGTGCTTGTGATTCTGTGAGATTTTACAGGACTGATGTTTACTTACTTCTGTTCCGAACATATCCAACGACGTATTGCGTGTCAGCATGGAAAGCGCAAAGCAAAGCGCGCATCATTGTCGGCTGGTACCGCACAATGTCGTTAAAGGCGGACAAGACAAGGACGCATTATGCTGCATAGTATTACTTCTTATAACCAGCTCAGGTTAGACAAACTTGTGCACATGCATGACACTGCATACGTCTGTCGTGAGTGTCTGCAGCACTCAGCGGTACAACGAACCGCCTCGCTGGAAGCCACGTGCGTTTACATGATTATTACACGGGGCATTCGTTCACCATATCTTTCACCGTCCCGCTGTACGCTACGGTAAGACGCGCCGTCAGCGACGACGCTAAACGGCGAGGATTGCCCACAACTTGTCCCCGTGCTTTCGGCACGGAGTCATTCATTATTCCAGTCACCTGGTGCGGCTTGGGCTCAGTACTCGTCCCGATACTGCTCTGACCTAAGGAAAAAAAGCCAGACGTTACACCGAGTCGCGCCGTTTGATGAAGAGCTGAACACCGCTGTTGACTCACCAGCCCGCGGCTGGTGAGTCAACAGCGGTCCACGGCCCTGACCCGGCGCGATCATCAGCCAGCGGGTCTTCCACACAGGCTGGCGCCAAAGCCTCAGACCGCAGCCACAGCCAGCTGGCAAATCCACCGCTGCTCCTCTCGGCGCCACCCGGCCCGCGTCCACATCACCGCTCGTCGGCAGGCTCTCGCCGCCTGACGTCCACCCCCTGAGGAGGGCGTGGCGGTACCCGGGCCGTCGCCGGCCGCTCACCTGCGCGGACGAGCCGACTTGGGTCGGACTGGCCGCGGCACCGACTCTGCACTGCTGACCTCGGTGCTCGGCTGGCCGGAGCCTGGCTCGGCCGACCGCATGCTGGGCGAGCTTCCACCGTTGTCCAGACTGCGGTCGCCCCACGGCGTTCTGCGACAGGTCGACTCCGTCACGCACGGTCAGTTGGGGCACGCGCGGTCGGCCATCAGAGAGGGTCAGCTGAGCGACAGCCGGTCAGGTGAGTCACTGACGTCCTACTGGGTCACGAAAGTTGATCTGGGCCAATGAAGGTCAGCTGGGTCACAGAAGTCAGCCGGACCATTGAGCGCTAGCTGGGTTGCGAGCGATCAAGCGATCAGCAGGATCAAGTCGGTTGGGCCATCGAGTCAGATTGGTCACAGAAGGTCACCTGTTTGACAGGTCAGCGGAGTGATAAAACTTCAGCTGAGACACATGACGTCATCTTGGGTCATGGGAGGTCATACGAGTTCACAGGGAGCAACAGGATGCATCGCAGCCATTGGTTTGGATCACCCCTGTCTCCAACGATGAATCGGCTCAGTCCGCTCGCAGCCTGCAGCCATGGGCTCTTGTTGTGCCTGACTCTCACCTGAGGGACATCCCGCGGGAGCCGCCGCTGTGGTGCCTGACTCTCACCTGAGGGACATCCAGCGGGAGCCGCCGCTGTGGTGCCTGACTCTCACCTGAGGGACATCCCGCGGGAGCCGCCGCTGTGGTGCCTGACTCTCACCTGAGGGACATCCCGCGGGAGCCGCCGCTGTGGTGCCTGACTCTCACCTGAGGGACATCCCGCGGGAGCCGCCGCTGTGGTGGCTGACTCTCACCTGAGGGACATCCCGCGGGAGCCGCCGCTGTGGTGCTGACTCTCACCTGAGGGACATCCGCGGGAGCCGCCGCTGTGGTGCCTGACTCTCACCTGAGGGACATCCCGCGGGAGCCGCCGCTGTGGTGCCTGACTCTCACCTGAGGGACATCCCGCGGGAGCCGCCGCTGTGGTGGCGGCGCGTAGCACGCCTGTGCCGTCTCCTCAGCTCTCCCTCGCCCGGCTCGCTCAGCTGACGCTCCATGCCCGGCTCGGCTGCTCCATCCTCCTGCTGGGACTCGATCAGACCTGCTGACCGGCCCAGTGAGTAGAACTGGTTGTTGATCGTTTCTTTGGTCAGCTCGAACGACATCTGGATAACGGTGAGCCCGACCATGACGTAGACGACGTAGGAGGTTTCCACCCACCATGCAGGCACGCCGCCGTAGTCGGGGTCCTTATCGCTCAGGATTTTCGGCACGAGATCTCCGAAGCCGATGGTGGAGATGGTGATGAAGGTGAAGTAGAAGCCGTCGAGGAAGGACCAATGCTCGTAGTGGGAGAACAGCGCCGCCCCGATGAAGTTGTACATGGTAGTGATGACAAAGATGACGGCCAGCGGCACCCTCAGTTGCAGCGATGGCGAGGCCCCGTGGGACCGACGTCGGCTGACGGCGCCGGGACTGGTCGCGCTGGTACTCGGTGCGGATCTGGCCGTCCTCGTCCGCCGGCGTCATTGTGATCAGAGGCTGCTGACCGGGGGCACCGGTAGATGTCTCTCCTGCCTGCACCGTAGGTGGTAGCACTAGTCCGCCATCCTGCTGAGGGCTGGCCGTGTCGGCAGCGACCGAAGCGTCCCCCGTTGACGTGAAGAGCTTGTCGTCCTGCTCGTCCCGCCTGCACCGGCAGCTGTCCTGCACGTACTTGTACAGGTGGTCGAGCAGCGTACCGATGGAACGACCGAGCGTGCGCATGGAGAAGAGCATCAGGGGCACGCCGAGCATGGCGTACAGCAGGGTCGCCAGGCGGCCCTGCCAGCTCTCCGGCGTCCTGTTGCCGTACCCTGTCGGCAGGCATCGCACCCTCATACCAGGGCTGTTCTGAGACATATTCAAGGACGTGAGCTTTTCATGCAGGACATAATTAGCATGCACGATCTAGGTTATCACGGCGATGTGCCTTAAGGTTTGGTGACCGACGTTCGCTGGCATGTGATGCACAGGTATGGTTTGTTATTCCGTCATGTCTTGGGCTACCGTGTGGAACCCTTTAAATTTGAAATTAATTTAACTCTAAGACTCGTGCTAAGACTCAGTCGCACAATATTCGAGTTTTCCGCAGCTTTGGTGGTTGTACGTAGTGACGCATAACGTTATGCAACTGGAACACATGATCAGCCGATATCAACAGCGTCCCGTCAGCCTGTGTTCCCGTACAGCCCAAAACAACGGATTGAACGGAGTGGATCGGAAAGCTGGTGTTTCCCCGAAAGATAACATCAATGCCGCAGAACGGTCACAGATGTCGCCATAACGTTCGATCTGAGAATATGTGTTGAAAGCGTCATGACCTCCAGATGTGGCGTATCAATAGTCCGCTGAAGCGCAAGGTGAAGGTGCGGCATGCCAACATCCTTTGCTACGGTTGCCTAGTCCCGGCTAGCTAGTTATCGTTGTCCTTGGCATACGCATGTGACCACCCCGCTTGCCATCTGAATGGCACGACTCATTACGGCGCTGTGTGTTGTCTTCCCATGAGGTGCGGGAGTTACAAAGTTCGTGCGCTGATATAGGTAATCGTTTTAGGCTAACATGAGCAAGCTCTGGTGGTTCAGGCAGGTTCGAGAAAGCCTTCTTTCAAGATTTGATTGCAAGCTCAGTCACGTGCGCTAACATCAACCAATCGCAACGAACTGGCCCAAACCAGGTCATGACAGGTAACCTGGGTTTTGTTCCCGCAAAGTTCTTCATGGATATAATCATGCAGAAATCCAGTGCTGTAAACATGGGTAGAGCTTTGTATCTCGCTGGGGCACCCTGTCCCCTGCCCCAAGCTTCCCTACGTTTGTCCCGGCTCTTTCAGTGTGGAAACCAAATCATGAGAAAAGCATCTGAAAAACACGCAACCTTCAGTATCAGAAAAACATCTTCTCGGTGACCTCTCCCCCTGCAATTCATTTTATGAAGTTCTGGTTATGGTACCAGACAACGGTACCTTACCAATCGTGGTAACAACCGTTGTAGCAAACAGCAACGCGGTTTTGAACGCCCAGTCGTCTCCAACCACCCTCTCAGCTTCGCAAAGGCCTGAGTCCTTCTGGATAACCTTGATTTTCGTTTCGTAATCCTCTATAATCAACTTCGCTGCTAAAACCCATTCGTCGATTTTATCTTGGTCCAGTTCCTTGTCTTTTTCCAAACTGCTCTGTACCTGATGAATCAATAACTTCTCTGAAAAAGATCAATTTGATTCAGGTTAGGCCAGGTCAAATACGTGCAGTCCATTTCGCTCAACGTGCGCCATACCATAAATGCGCAAAGTCCGGTGAGACAGTTGAAAACATTCAAGGTTTAAAGCATACTGGTGAAACGCAAAGCGCCAGCAGCTGACGTTAAGTGTAACATGACCTGTGATCCTTGACTTCAGGGTGGGACACTAACGTTTATAAGTTGAAAAGAGAACAGTGTCGCAGGCTAGCCCAACCGCGCCGGCCTCGCTGTTCAGGACAGTGTCGCAGGCGAGCCCGACCCTTCTAGCCTCGTTGTCCGCCGACAGGACAGTGTCGCAGGCGTGCTCGACCCAGCCGGCATCGCTGTCCGCCGACAGGACAGTGTCGCAGGCGAGCTCGACCCCGCCGGCATCGCTGTCCGCCGACAGGACAGTGTCGCAGGCGAGCTCGACCCCGCCGGTCTCGCTGTCCGCCGACAGGACAGTGTCGCAGGCGAGTTCGACCCCGCCGGTCTCGCTGTCCGCCGACAGGACAGTGTCGCAGGCGAGCCCGACCTCGCCGGCCTCGCTGTCCGCCGACAGGACAGTGTCGCAGGCGAGCTCGACCCCGCCGGCCTCGCTGCCCGCCGACTGGACGGTGCCGCTGGTAAGCCCATATACACGATTTATTTTCATAAAATTCGAGTAAATGTAAAGAAGAGCCGTTCGCCTTGTGGCCATTACCCTTAGTCTATTTCCAAATTTTGAGGCATTGGCACTGCTTCAAATCACAGATTTTTTAGAAAAAGTATCTCTTGAAAGTTTGCGTAACCTGAAACACTGCCATTCTCCCAACGTCTCCCAATGTAATGTAAACGCTGTCATTCTCTAAATGTTGCAATGTTAGATATACAACATTCACAGGGGAGCTAGCACTCTTTGCGAACCGATTTGTTTGATTCCTAGGCTTCTAGGTAGTGTTCTTCGGGTCAGATAAGGCCAAACAGGGTCAGTGTGTGCAGGGCCGTGGCACCTACTTGCGCAGTCAGCTTCAACTTAGATGTTGTGCTCTGAGCAAGGAGTCCCTCGGGCTTATATCAGCTCAGTGACCTGATCTGAACTTTAAATGCTAAAAACGACAAACACTACGAGACGGTCTTAATATGTTGAGTTCTAAATCACCCTCAAGGACCACTCTACGTGTTTTTGTTTACTCTCGGTAAGTTCTCAAAGCAAACGTTTGAATGACGCACTGGCATCAGTAACCGCCCCGGACCTTCATGAAGTTAGCATAAGAAACTTGCTCATGCCCTGGTCATAAAGGAATTCTAGACAAACATAACAACTCACTTGTAGGGTAAGTTTTCAGGCTTTCTGAGAAGAGGTTGTTGCTTGTAATTCTAACCTAAATTTTATTATTGTCTAAGGAAGCATGTTACGCAGCATAAGTTCATCTAACACTTTGGTGTCGCATGAGCTTGAAAGATCCTATAACAACAGCTTTCGCTAACAAAGAGGGTCTGACTGTCCTACTTCAGGTCAACAACCTTAAGATGGATGTTTAAGTTTTCGCGTCCAAAGATTAGCTGCGCAATTATGTACAGCGGTGTAAAATTCCTGCATTGCCCCGTATCGCTTTGAAGCTATTTTTTAGAGAAAAAAACCATAGGGTGGTCAGATGGGCGCTCTTTAGCCGAGTGCATGTTAAGCCATTTCAAGTGTTTTTAGTTTCTAAATGTATTCCGAATGGTATGTATGGGTTTCTTTCGATTCGGAGTACATGCCACGCATAGCTTGTTGCGTATGCCCTCCATCGAAGATCATGGTCATATAAGGCCATGGTGTAAGCTCAAATGACCCTTTTTATGTCTCAGAAGTAGATAAATAGTGCTTCCTCTGACTTCAACCAGCATAACTATTCGGAAACCAGGAATACTCTGTGCGGGCTTTCTACAGACAAAATGACTTGTCTGCTCGGCTCGTCGGGCCAAACCTGTCACATAACCTACGATCGTCTTAGTAAAGGTCAAGGAGGGTCACAATGTTACAGTCAACGTGACTACCGGAAGAGTACTACATCGTTGTTTTTCTTTTTATAAGAACGAGGGATAGTAGAGTGACAATAGGGTGATACTTGTCGGTTTCCAAAAAGTTCCTGCATGCGCGTCGCTTGACAACGAAACGTGTAATTAAGACAAGCACTCGTATTGCGGCGGTATGTACTTCGTGAATGTGGAGCTCTTGTGTTGCAATCCATGAACGCTTCTATCTTTAAGGAATCATTTACCCCCCCCCGCCCCCTCCTGTCTGCCCAGACCCCTTCAAGTTAGTTTTTATCTGAAAATTTCAAGTACAATGCCGTTGTTATGTGACAAACGGGTCAGTTTTGTGTAAACGGAAAATCCTAAGATAAGCCAGCGTACCGCTTTATTCCTTACCTGTGACATTGTACAGATTCTGAAGCACCGTTGTCCTGTTGTCCCTTGTATAAACTTGCAATTCACTCCAACATGCTGGTGTACCTACTTTTGCTCGTTTCGCATGAATTGCATTGTTCTCCAAATATTGGAATGTTAGCGCACCGAGGATACAGTACCCGAGTATCAACAATATCATTCCTAAGTATATGAACACGTGAGAAACGAGCCATTTCAGAGTATCTCTTCCCTCCAGATGCCGATGGAGCCAGGTACTGAAGTGAAAAGAGTTATCTTCCATGTTGACGACGCAAGAACCACTTCGATTCAGAATGTTATATTCACGGCTGAAGCTTGCTAGTAAGCTACATGCTCCATATTGTTGCCATGCCTCCGCTTCTTGACAGAAATTAATTATAGGCGAAGCCACAGGGCTGCGTTACAAAAATAAGAATGGTGTGGGATGCCGCAAAGTCGCCATACTTGCCTGCATTCGACATTTTTGATAGAGCGACGAGAAGCATGCACTTCCTTGAGAGGCTCCTCTTAACAACTCGAACGAAGATAACTCTCCGACTTCACTAAAAAAAAACTGAGGCAATACCAGTTGATGCATCTTGATCGGCAACAATTCTCGGTTGAAGGTGAGTGTTTGCAGCACGCGAATAAAAGTTATTGCAAAACGTCCCGGCACTAGACCTAACTGTTCATATGCATACCACAAGCAATAATGACAGTCGTGCAGTCGACCAGTCCTATGTAACTGAGCTGCAGGAAAAACCTTAAATGTATCCTAGTGAGTTAGTTTTTAGTTTAGTCCGGCTGGTTCAAGTATAAATGAGCATGTTTCGTTGCATGCTCAGATTTCAGGCGTCTCTTGCAACGGTCTAGTGTGAGCCACGGAGATAACTTTAATAGTTGTGAAGGATCCAGGACAAAAGCAAAGATGTCATTAAAATTAAAGACAAAGTGTCAACATCCCACAGTTCATGGTGTCTCAGTATACCTTGCAAATTACATCCCTTACAAATTACATAATCATCATAGCATCATTACGGCTTAACGTTTGTGTCAGTGTCATCATAACATTAACTGTCATACATCACGTTTCAAATCAACAGAGCTCTCCCAGCCCAGGGGGTGTTGTACCTACGCATGACATTACGTAGATCCACGTAATGGATCTACGTGATCCATAAAATACCAGTGTTTGCTGTTAGTCACAGATCAAGCTATCTGGGCAACAACTCTGTGACGTTGGTGTGGTGGGAACGCCAACACTGGGAACGTTAACATGCCAGGCGTAAACCACACGCCAAAGCGAGAGAGATCATCATGGATAAGAGCCAAAACTCAAAGCGAAAAATTATACAAAGGCAAATACAAATACTTACACAGCTTTTGTCTTCAGTACCATTGCAACTACTGTTCGATTAGGAGAAGCCACCTGGGCGGAAGCGTTCCGACTTTGGCGTAGGAGACCATTTGCATTGCTGAAATGTAAGGACATGAATGGCGAATGGCGAACACATTGCATGCAGAGGGGTCAGGGTGGGTTTGAGTTTCATAGCGTCGACTCACTAACCTGCCAGTTTCCAGCGAAATCGGTAGAACTGCTCGGGTTTGAATCGATTTCAGGAGTCTGCCTTGCCAGGGACTTGCTCCTCTTTCCCTCCCCCGAGTGACGCAAGTTTGGAAGAAGAAAACAGCGTTTAAGGAAACATATGATAAACAAATATCCTTCCATTCACCACAAACGAAAAACCGACACAGGGCTACAGTACCGCTACCGAACTCAAGCGACAAGATTGGCGATGTCTATTTGAAGGATGTGTTCTCTAAACAATGACTGTTCATGGTAAAAATAGACTGAGCCTCTAGCCTGGCAAAATTTAGAAAATGACACGTCCGTCAAAAAGGAAAATAAAGATATGGAAAAAGTATGCGTCCGACGTGAATGCCATCCGATTTTACGTGCAGATCAACAGGATTTCTACCAGATCTTGATTATGTGGATTAACCTAGATCATCTGATCTTGGTCTTGAGCAGATTTGACAGCAGTTCAGGGTTCTGAAAAATTGTGGGATTTATTGATGTCGTTGAAAGCGCATAGAGTGAGACGCCTGAAGGAAGACGCCCGTGAAGGAATCGCGCTAACATCCAGAGGGTACCGTGATCCTCCACGACCTAAAATCACTACGTGGCTTTGTAAAAAATGGCGTCTAAAGCAAGGATCACTGACCCCGTCATTCCGAACCTGCCCGAAATTTCAGGGTCGGCTATTCCATGTGCTGGTGTCATCAGGAGAGTGGGATGTCTTTTTTCTGGCAGCGCTGGAAGTTGACGATGTTAGCCTGGTTGTTACGCCTTACGTTTTAAGGAACATCGGCTGTCGGCGCAATCTCGCTGAAAAATGCTGGCCAGTATTAAATACATAAGATGCTAGTACAAAATATCATTACCAGCTGACTCTTGGCTGGTGTCTACCAGTGCGTCGAAGGTGGTGCCGATGCGCACACGTAACATGCTTCCATGGCATATTTTGCATCGAATTTAAAATGGTATAAGAAATGATTTATTACATTCACGTCCGAATGCAGGCTCCGAAGAAGCACACTGATCTTGGAGGCACTGCTAGGACAACGAGCTATTTGGTTATGACGCCACTGAGCTGGTAACCAACTTTCCGGCCATGAACCCATAAAAGTCTCCAAGATGGCATGAATGATCAACTGCCTAAAACGGTGGCATTAACATGACGTTAAATTAGCAAGGTTTCATGTCAGAGATTTATCGGGCATTACAAGAAGCTTCATCCTTGCAAAGTCCTCACAATGTATGAGGAAGCAGACACTTTGAAATAGTCTCTGCCCTTTAACAACCAAACGTCCTTGCATAGCTTGTAAAATATTGGCATAATCTTTACCGAAGCCAGTCTCTGGGATCGAAGGTTTTAGCGCTCACACCAGCATGCAACTGGAACAGCTTTCAGCAGCCCACAGTGTGCTACGCTCTCGTTTGTAGAGGTGTTCCCGAAAAAGCAATACAAAGTATGCGCATAAATTATCATTTGCTTTCCGACTAACGTTTTACATGGTGCCGCCGTCCAATTGCAAATGTTCTTTATACTACCCGCATTCAATGGGGTTTGCATTACAGGCATCATACGATATATCTGTCGCCTTGGTTACGTGACCACACATGTTTTGCGTCCAAAAGTTGCATTCATGTACGTGTTCTAATTAAGTGAATATATCAACTATTGGTGCGCACTAACGCTTTTTATGATAAATCGCAAGCAGGGGACCCGAAAAACCAGCCTACGATGGTGCTCAGACTCAGTACCGGTCCATACATCAAGACAGACGCTAAAATGTCCCTTGATTGCGGGTTATTAATTCATTAACGAGGTGAATTGGATGTGACGGGGGAGACGAAAACGGCGATGTGGTACCACCGCAATTTAGCATCGTAATCCCCTAAACAAGGCACAAAACTGTCAATCACCGTGTTTTTGTCGAAGCACGCATTTGTGTGGGTGTTTCGAGGAACGTTAAAACTGGCTGCTACACACACATGTAGCGCCAAAGACGCCGTGAAAATCAGACGCCGTGCTGCCAAATGATTTTATTTTCAGTCTTGCTTTAATTTGCGGCAAGAAGCGAACATCACAATGGTCGGTGGCCCTGTTTGCCGGGCTTGGCGACGCTCCGCGATGTGACGGGGTTCCATTTTTATTTCCTGCTCATTTCATCGTGACGATAGTATGACTGCGTGAATGAGATATTTGTCTGCTTCCTCCCACACGACTTGCAGTACGATTTAATCCCTGTCCCATCATCAATTCCGCCGCGATAAAATCCACCTTTTACAACAATTCTCGATCTGACTAAAGCGAATTACTTTTTCCTCCGTCTCATTTGTTTGAATAATGCAGCGGCACGCGAGTTTCAATTCCGCAGCGCGGCCTGCGGCGATAGCGTTTCGGCTGCCTCTGTCGGTCTGGCCTCAAACATCTCACCAGCGAGAGAGCCTCAGGGACCCGCCGCGAAAACCGTCGGCTGGAACTGACAATCAGACCAGAGAGTGCGACCCAACCTGCCGCTGCCCAGAAGGCGTCCAATGACGCACTGGGCGAGACCTGCTGCGTGGTGCAAAGCCGTCGATAGTGCCTCCATATCTTTGCCGGGAAATATCGCATTTTGGCATCGGCCTACCTGCTTAACTCTGCCCCTTCAGCAAGGCTGAATCGATCTAGCTTGCGAATCATCAGCCTGGCAGTCGGGGTCGTCTATCACCGCAGACGGATCGAATACGCCAGTCCTCTAGTGCTGATAACTTTCTCGGTGATCCATCAGCACGTGCCTATGGTCTGTCAGACGCGCTAATCTCCGCCCTGTGACGAGTCCGGCGTCCCCACAGTCCGCCGGCCGGCCAGTCTGACACCGGTCGGATTCGCACGCTGTCGGCGCAGGACACGGATCTCAAGCCCAACATCACGCGGTCGGATCTGCACGCTGTTGGCGCAGGACAGGGTTCTTAACCCCAACATCACGCGGTCGGATCTGCGCGCTGTCGGCGCAGGACAGGGTTCTCCAACCCAATATCAAACGACCTACAGACTGCAGTTGTTCTCCCGTGAATGTTGAGAGAAGCTGAGTTGGTGGTTTGCGAGGTAGACCCGTGTGGCCGTTGCTAAAAAGCTTTCTGAAGTGCATTAAAATTAGGGATTCTGCACGGTCGTTGGTCAAAGGGAATAATTATTTGTTTTGACGTGCTTCATTACCGATTCGCTTTGCATTTCCACATTTATTTTCACAATAAACATGAACGTGAATACAGATAACAATAACATATTACTGAACCAAATTATATACGCAAAAATAATAATACTTGTAGCATTATTACTATCTAGGCTTTGTTTTTCCAACAAATATTTCAACATTTCGTAGTGGACATGCCCAACACAACCTCAGTTTACCTTTTCCCCTGCACACATCGGCTGGCCGTTGATGTGACCTACATTTTTGAGATGGCTTCCTCCGGCACCTTTCGGCGATCTGCGATTAAGTTTGAATTTTGGCACTGAAAGTAATAGACCGCATCTTAAGATGAATAGTGCCGCCATCTTCCAGATAACACGTGAGGTGAGCGTCACGTGCTTGCAAGCATTCTAGGTTCGTCTTTCAGCGCCTCGAGCCCTTGCAACAGCGGCTGACTGCTTCGTCAGTTTTCGGAATGCAGGATAGAACGCAGCACCCCAAATGTGCAGATCATCACGTCCGTGC